AGCCGTGCGAACCGGACGGCAGAAGGTTCTCAAAAGTCGAGCCGAATTCGACCACTTGGGCTTTAAGAGTGAAGCTCAAAGGCTCTGGCTTCTACAGGGTTCTACTGGGCGTCTACGAGGTTTTGCAACGATTTCTGTGTGGCTCTGCAAACAAGGCTCCCAAACGGGTCAGCATCTTCATCCTCTGCAGGACCACATGCTAGTCCATTGGAGACGTGCACTGTTGGAGCTGGGAGGGACGGCTGACGCAGAGACTCCAATATTCCTTAATTGAGGAATATTCCTTAAATTATAGTAGGATCCTTAATATGGTTTAAGGTATATTCCTAATTAAGGGATATTGGAGTCTTTGGGAAGACTGCAACGAAGCTTTCTGGTGTCCTCCTTTGGCAGCACTCGGAAGTTGTAGCCGTCTGGACCCGTGATGATATCCGCATCCACTGCGTATCCCATGTCAGCAGCTGTTTTCAGTGCCTCCTGGACCACAGACAACGGCAGACTACAGTCACGACATGCAGCAGGCAGCGGCTTCTACAACCTAAACCGTAGACATTCTGTAGGTTGCGGGGCATCCACTCTGCAAGCTACCAGCCCTGGATGTCCCAAAGCACTCGAAGGAAACTGAGAGTCGGGTCGGATGCCCGCGATCTACGGTACTCCTCCAAAACGCAAGTCTCATACGATGTAGAGGGAGCCCGAAGAAGCTTTGAGCGAAGATGTTTGAGGGCTGTGGGGTTTCCAAGGTAGGGCGCAGCACAGAGCTCCCCACCTCAGGATTTGCCACTGCCACAGCGATGTGTGCCAGACCGGTCCCAGGTTCGTAGTCAGAAACACCATAATTGTAGGTCAACTCTAGGCCTTGGCACGGGTTTGAAAAAAACACAGGGTTTAGGGTTTAGGGTCAAAAACAGGGTTTAGGGTTTAGGGTTAAATACAGGGTTTAGGGTTTAGGGTTAAAAACAGGGTTTAGGGTTTAGGGTTTGGGATGATTGAAAGCCCTCTGCAGTCAGAAACACCATAGCATTAGGTCAACCTCGGGCCTTATTGCTCAAGTGCTGGGATATAGCTCTCTCTCTCTATATATATATATATACACTGAGATAGCTATCCTAACTATATAGATGATTGCAATGCTATATATATATATATATAACTATACAGTTCTTTGTGAAGGTCAGCACTCAGGAAAGGTTGCGCTCACCACCCAGGCCAAGATGCAATAACCTTCGTCTTCGGGTCCGTAGCCAATCATTGTCTTGGACCAAGGTGTCTCAAACTCGCCGTTGCACGTGATTGCACATGGCTTATCGAACTCCTCATGTCTCAATACCTTCATGCAGAGGTATAGGCCCTAAACCCAACCAGTCTTTTGTTGTAAGCCCTAAACCCCAAGTCTTAAACCCAACCTAACCCTAAACCCTAAACCCTAAACCCTAAATCCTAAACCGAACCAGTTTTTTAAGACCCGACCTTCATGCCGAAGATCTTCGTGAAGAACCGGAGGTTTGCCTTGACATCCGTGGTGCGGAGGACCCAATGGGCCGGCCGACTCTGAGCGATCAAGTCCTCAAGGGCCCAAGGGTCTCTATTAGGTTTTAGTTTTTAGGGTTTAGGGTTTAGGGTTTAGGTTCTATTAGGGGTTTAGGGTTTAGGGTTTAGGGTCTATGCGGTTTAGGGTTTCGGGTTTAGGGGTTTAGGGTTTAGGGTCTATGCGGTTTAGGGTCAAATTAGGGTTTAGGGGTTAGGCGCTTCAGAACAGCACAGACTCAGGCCTTCCGCTGGCAAGACCAACCAAAGACTCCAACACCCTTTTATTCAGGAGGAACCCTCACTAGGATCCTTCACACCTCAACAATAAGTTTAGGGTTTAGGGGTTTAGGGTTTAGGGTTTATAACAAGGGACAATCCATAAAGGGATGTTAGAGTCACTGGGAACTCATTTGGTCAGCTGCCTGGCTCTCCACCGGCTTGACCATCCAGTCGTCCACTGTGGGTCTCGCGGCGGCGACCGCACCTCTAGCAACCTCGGAGTGCAGGGTTTAGGGGCTTAGGGTTTAGGACAGCTTTGGTGGCCGAGTGTTCCAGTTTGCAAAGCTTCCTGAAGCCTTGTGTAACCACTAACCCGCACGAAATGGAATCGAAGCCCAGCAGATGCACAACAGGCGAGTAACAGCAGGATCTACTGTGCATGGCCCTTGCATGCCTGTGCGATAGACATGCACTTCTTAGCAATCGCCAGGAGGCACCACAAAAGTCTCGGAGCTTACAAAACCTACAAGGATTAAACTGATAGCAGGAAGTCAGAGAACAAAAGGGGCAAGGCTCTGCTTCGAATGTTCGACATGAGTTGGTAAAGCGGATGCAGATCCCCACGCAAGTTTGCCGAGTGTGTTGCAGCCAGAAGCATGCACATGACTGTATTAAATCTTGCGGCGCAAATTGTCAAACCTGTAGTCAGGCCGTGTCAGGTATCTGAGCGTAGATCTGTACACGTGGGTGCAGGTCACATTTTTCCCACCCGCCCAGCTGACCACGCCGCACCGCAGGGAAATCAGGTTGTATTGGGTAGCTGGTTTCACAGCCTCTATCATATGTACCAGGTAGGTGTTAACAACTTCATATCGAGGAACACCTGGCATAGCCATGTCTGCTGGATTTAACTAATCGGGCGTGGGGGGGGGATTGGTACTGTAGCTGTTGCAGCCGAAGGTGCTTTGCATCGTCTGCTCTTTCTGGCCGCAGCCAGCACTCCCATGCCTACGAGGGCCGTGGCACCTGGGCTAAGGCTCCCGATGCTTCGTGGAGCATTGCAGCCATGCAGCCGGTCGAAACTCAGAGGGCCTAACCGACCTAACCCACATAGCCTACCAAGGCTGCCCAGCTGGGCCATGAAGAACCAAAGCACCTCCAACTCCCCAATTCTAAATTTTCGGGTTGGCTGCAGGAGCTCCAAGCCACTTCCTCTATCACTAAAAGCCGGTTGCCCGTCCGGAATGCCTTCGCATGGGAGGTGTGACTTCGCGGGCGCAGCCGGCACATGCGTCGGCCTCGCACTTCGAGCCTCTCAGGCAGGGCAGGTCGTTAGGGCTTAGGGCTCGGGGTTGTATGGCTGCTTATGGTAATGCGACAGCGAAGGCTACTGAGAGTTACATATGAGACATGACTAGTCTGGCTATGCCCCTTAGCACTGTTCTTGTGATTCCTGTTTGGCCCGTATGCATGCTATCACATGTCGATACCAACATGATCTTTCTCCCATCCCCTCTGTCTCTCTGAGTCGCTCTCTAGTGTCATGCCCCTAGACACGCAACCCCAAAAACCCCGACATAAATCCCCAAACCGAAGCCATAGACGCAGAAAGCCCTCAAGCCTTAAAGCTCTGAGCTGAACTCCTAAACCCCTAATCCCTAACCCCGAAACCCTAAATCCCCTTAATTAAGGAATATACCTCAAATTTTAGGGGCCTGAATATTATGATTTAAGGTATACTCTTTAATTAAGGGGTGTTGGGTTCTCTGGGAATCCCTAACCCCGAAACCTAAACCCCTAAGCGCTCAATCCCTTGAGGAAGAGCCCAGAGACTCCAATATCCCTTAATAAAGGAATACACCTTAAATCATATTAAGGAGCCGACTACAACTTAAGGACTATACCTTAAATCATATTAAGGATCCTACTATAATTTAAGGAATATTCCTTAATTAAGGAATATTGGAGTCTCCAGGGAGAACCCAAGGCCGCCTTTGCTGCGATCTGCTGCGGAATCCTGGGCTCCGGCTGGAGCAAAGACACGAAAGCCATGGCCTGGGTTGGAGTTTAGGGCTTTTAGGGTTAGGGTTTAGGGTTAGGGTTTAGGGCTTTTAGGGTTAAGGGTGTAGGGGTAAGGGTTTAGGTGTTTAGGGATTTAAGGGTGTAGGGGTAACGGTTCAGGGTTTGGGGGTTTAATTAGGGGTTTAAGGTTTAAGTGTGCAGGTGTGAGGGTTTAGGGTTTAAGGGTTTAGGGTTTAGGGTTTAGGGTCTAAGGGTTCAGGGTGTAGGCATTGAGGGTGTAGGGGTAAGGGTGTAGGGGTAAGGGTTTAGGAAGTTTACGGGAAGGTTCTGCAAGCTTTTACAAGCTTTTTATAGGGCAATAAACAAATGTGGCTTACAGAGTTTTCAACTTGTAGGGTGTAAGGCTTTTCCAGCCTCCGATGTGCAGGGTTTAGGGTTCAGCGTTCAGGGCTTGAGAGTCAAGGCCCCCACAGAAGAATAATACAGGGGCCTTAATGGTTAGAAAAAGTCTTCGGTGTATATTATACCGTAATTATAATGAGGAACCTCCAAAATAGTATTCGTCAGTAATTATTCAGGCCCCCTATATTGGATACCTCTATCAAAACGCACGGGCAACCAACAACAACAGCCCAAAGCACCCAACACCCCACACGAAGGAGTCTAGCTTAAATTACGTCACGCTCAAGATCATGGTCTATGTATGCATATATAATCTGAAGAGAGATATATTGTATGTATGTATATAATTCTGAATAATAAATATATTTAAGTGCATATAAATGTGGGTATCTAAAGATAGAGCCTTACTCTTTAAACTATGGAGTATCGCGCTCTCTGGGTATCCCCCAAATGCCACCCAGCGGCTCTCAAAGGCTCAGTTGGCCGAGGATAAAAGTCTTCGAGCCCAAGAAGGCGGGAGCCGTGCCCCTGCGAAAATAGAAGGCCTTTGCCCGTGGCTTTTTCTTCTGGGCACCCATCAGCATGCCTACCCCAGGCAACCCCAAAAAGTAGTGTGATTCTGCCCTCTCCCTTCGTTCGAAAAGTTGGCATGAAGCCACGCAGCAGATAGCTCAAGCAGCATACTTCCTGCACCGCTCCATCCAAACCCAATTCTCCAAGAGCTATGTCCGTATGTAGCATGGTATTGAACAACCATCTCACACACGATGGCAACCCTGCCGCGCCCTAAACCCTAAACCCTAAACCCTAAAGGCTGAGTAGCGAGCGACGATCATCAGGACCAGCTATTGAGGGCAATGCCACTAGGGCCGCCCTTTTGTCCTCGGTGCTTTTTCCCCCAACCGCCCAGCTGACCAAGTTTTGGCTTTGGGGTTATGGCTATACTTTTCTATGATTCTATGATACAATATACTAAGAAACCTATAAGGCTTCTGTGATAAAACATACTATAATACTATAATGCTTTCTTTTGTTAGTCCTGGTGCCTAGCTTGTTTCGCTTCTCACAGCTGGGACAAGCCGAGCGAGGTGTCCGAACAGCATATTTCCGACCATGCCGGTTCAGGATTTAGTGATACCATTGGCAACTGGCTTTGTGATCCTAAACCCTCTTGCAACGGCCTTGTCAATTCTAAACCCTAAAACCTAAACCCTAAACCCCTAAACCCTAAACCGTAAGCCCTAGTCATGAGGATTCAGTGCTTCCTGCCGCTACGACTGACATTTCAATCAGACACAGAATCTGACCAGCTGGGCTGCTGGGGCCTTAACAAGAAGAACAGGGTGTTGGGGCGGATCCATTATACCAAAGAAATAGTTAGGAACCACCCCCCCAAACTAATAGAGATTGTCATTAGGCCCCTATAGTAGGTCCAGGTCCTCACACAAGCCACCCACCTCTGCCATCCACTCTTTGCTTCAAGTGTCAAGCAGCTTTCCGTGGTCCAAGGCTTCATAGAGCCGCTCTGGCAGGTACACAGCCTCCCAGAGACTCCAATATCCCTTCATTAAGGAATATACCTTAAGTCATATTAAGGATCTTAGTATCATTTAAGGGATATTCCTTAATTAAGGAAAGTTGGAGGCTCTGGGCTTGACAGTCTGCCAGCAAACTTCTTTGTGGCAGCTTCGGGGCTTTGAGACTAGGGTTTAGCGTTTAGGGGTCTAGGGTTTAGGGTTCATCGCTTCAGCTTGCCGTTAGCCCCATTTCAGATGAGATGCATTCTATCCCCCACTCACGCCAGACCCAGCATTAGATCTACCTCATACCCCAACCTGCCACAGCCCAACACACCATATGCCTATTGTCAACCCATCAAGCTCCAGACTCAACCTGCAAAAACACTTAGTGCGAAACTCCTGAACAGAGTACTAGGGGTGACTAGACACCTTGGCGCACAAAAAGCCCTATTCAACCCTAAGCCCAACCCCCAAACCCCATAAACCCTAACCCCATGTAGACCCTAAAACCCAAACCCTGCAAACCCTCAACCCGCAACTCCAAGTAGCTGCCAAATCGAAGGTCGCCCTTTCGCAGCTTTGGCCACCCAGAGTTTCCAGATCTTCCAGTAAGTGCGAATCCAGGGATAACCTGCGGTTTAGGGTTTAGGGAGTTTAAGGACTTAGGGTTTAGAGTTTCGACTCACACACTCGCGCAGGGCAGGCTTCCGGGGTCTGAGCTGCTCGGGGGTTTGCGCTGTCACAACTCGGACATGCCGGCGAGGATCCATGGTTGAAGGTCGGGTGTAACTTTGCTTGCCCGGTACTATGCAAGGGCAACCTAGCAACAACTTCACATAAGTAAGAAAGAACCCAGACCTAGACAACTTAGAAGGAACGACATCCGGCAAGCCAACTAACTACAGGGTCTACACGGTCAGCGGGGGTTTAGGGTTTAGGGTTCTGTGGGGGTTACACCCCCCACCCCCCAATGGAGGCATATACCTCAAACCTTCAAACCATAGTGGTAGGTTGCAGGTTCGGGCATTGGGGGATTTCGGGGTTCTAGGCTAAACAAGGTTCCTGAGTGACACCGAAATAATAAGGGTAGCCTTTTCCTATAGTTGGGTTTTAACAAGGAGACCCCAAAATAAAAAGTGCAAAAGGGTACTACTCAGGAACCTAGTAAAAAAAGGCTTACGGTTTATGTCGGATAGAGATGATTTCGCGAGTGCTCTGGCTGCTGCTCTGGCTGCCGCTGTTGTCAACAACAATCCGAGCACCTTCAACTCCGAGCCGTGTCGAATGCCAAGAGGCTGCAGGCACATCGCCGGTACCTCCCAAGAGGCCCCCACAAAACTTGGGAAAGTGCCCTAAACCCTTAACCCCTGAACCCTAAACCCTATAGGGGAATATTTCCAAAAAGTGCCACGGTCTTCTTCAAGATGGCGGAGTTCCGCTCATGGCGGCGACTCGGCAGAGTTCCCTACACCGCGAGGACCCAATACCGCTTAATTAAGGAATCTACCTCAAATCATCATATTAAGGCCCCTAGAATTCTATTAAGGTATCTATCTATATATATATATATATATATATTCCTTAACGAAGGGGTATTGGGTTCTCTCAGCATCTAGTTTGCATCGGGCCTCCCAAGCAGCTCCAACTTGCTGCTTGATGCGACCGATGGTGTCCTCCGGCTTGACCTGCTCTGGCCAAGGTGTTGCTACCGTGGCTGAGTTTAGGGTTTAGGGGTTTAGGGGTTTAGGGTTTAGGGTTTAGGGTTCTACCGTGGCGACTGCGACTGTAGGGACGGCTTTGCCGGCGTGTTCAATTCAAGAACGACCTCGTTATGTTGCAATATATTTCATTACAGTATGCGGTACTGTCTTATGTTATGTTCTATTCTGCTATACTCCGTTATGTTCGCTAAGTTATGCTATTCTGCACTGTTCCACTGTTATCTTGTTGTGTTGTATGCTTATATTATATTGCTATATTGCTATGGTAGGTCAGGTTACGTTATATTCTGTTATGTTGTGCCATAAGTAATGAATGAAGGTAGATGTTCGGGGGAAGCCTGGGGTGGTGGTTCTCCGTTTATACATGCACATTACACATACATAACACACACACACATGCGTACATACATACATACATACATACATACATACATACATACATTAATTACATACATGCATACATACATACATACATGCGTACGTACAATCGTACGTACCTACATACATACAGACAGACACAAACAGACATATATTACACACATTGCATCCAATACATACACTACATACATTTTACATACAATACATACATGCATACGTACATGCAAACATACAAACATACACACATGCAAACATGTATACATGCATACATACATACATACATACGTACATACATACATACATACATACATACATCGATTCATTCATTTATTCATTCATTCATTCATTCATTCATTCATTCATTCATTCATGTCAAACCATTTACTCACGTATACATATAGATATACATAGCTATAGCACACATACATATATCCAAATGTCTATTTGGCGTATGCGTCGCAAGCACGTAAACATCTTTCCTGTGACGCCTGGAGCTGGAGGCAACGTCCGGACAAGCCATGGATGGCAACAGAGAGATGTTGCACCATTGTTAGGTCTGCTAGGTCTAGGACGCCAGCAACCCTCAAGACGGACATGCACCAAAGTTAAGCTGTAGAGGGCCATTACAGTGGTTGAATGTGTGTTCCTTTGTTTTCTAGGTGCCTGTGCAATGTTTCAGATGGCACACAGCGTGGCATAGCGTGGCTCCATGGTATCGCGGCCTGTCGCCCAGAGCCAATGCAAAGCCGCGTCCGGATATGCAGCGGGCTGAGCGGCAAATCATCAACGGCATGGCCATGTGCCATACGTCTGAGTGGCGAGCTCGGTTGCAAGGGCTGCTCCTGGTCCCTCGATCGGCCGCACTGCAGTTTGTTGGCTGTGCAAGGCTACTCGTACTGAGGTGCCGGCATGAGGCGAATTTTGTTCACCGACTCCCTCGCCTACAGCATTGTACTGCCGGTGGGTGCGTGAGAGCCTGCACTAACTCACTAAGCCGAATCTGCCTGCAGCTGCAGGCCACGCTGTTTGCTCTGGGTGCTGCAGGTCTCCGGGCTCTGCCTCAGTCTTGCGCTTGAAGTCATGGTGGCTGCGGTTGTGGTCGTCGTGGTGATCGTCGTCGTCGTGGTAGTGGTAGTGGTAGTTGCAGCTGTAGCTGCTGTTGTTGGTGGTGGCTGGTGGTGGCGGTGGTGGCGGTGGTTGCTGGTTGTTGGCTGTCGGCTGTTGTTATCCTCGCCATATGTCGCCGTCGTGGGAATGGTAGTGTTGTGGGAGGCCTCACTTAGGAGGTACAGGCTCCTTGTTAGACCTGTAAGCGGCTTTAGAGTCTCAGAGTGCTAGACATGTAAAGACCCTTTTGAAGGTCGCGACAAACATCTGCAGAGGCAACTGAGGCCCAAACCACATGTACACCACCTCGCCACGAGTCCAACCTTGCGGCCAGGGCACTAACTCACTTGCCACAGCTTGGGTCACGGCAAACTTCCTAAACCCGAGATCCAGCATTCCAGCAAAAACAAGTAGGTACCCCCACCATGACTCCCAGTTTTATTACGTTCAGACAGAGAACTCTACTACAATAATATAACTACCATATATACTTATGTATACACCTACACATGGTTCTGGGAACGAAGCATCCAATGCTAGCCAAAGCCGGGCTCCGTGCGAATCACTGCTTTCGTTCACCACGGGCTCCTGAGCATTGCATGTCTTGCCGAGGTTTTGAAAGCTCGCCGACAATTCTTCAGTCACCATTGATCCATTATTACTCACCTGATCAATACACCAACCGTTCATCAACTCAGTACATATAGCTGGTTAGCTAACCAGTTAATCAGAAAGTTGGTTTCCACTTCACAAGTTCATTTGGCAATCGGTTGGTGACGGGCACAACTTCTGGGAGCATCTTCTGCACGTGCTCGTATGCCCGGCCCTGAGTGGCCCGATTCATGTCTAATGCGATCGAAAAACATGTCATGTTCAACTTTCCATATCCTAACCCTTCCTGGTAAGTTTCCAAAATCTAGGCCCAAGGCAGTTTAGGCCTTCCGATGTTCAGGTCTAGCAGAACTCGGGACTGGCAAAGCCAGTTAGATCTGCCACCGGCCTCGAACAAACTCTAAGTCTGTGAGTTAAAGCAGCAAGAAGTATGCAACGACTTCGCATGCGGCGGGTCCTGGGCAACCTCTTCGTCACTTGCTGAAAGTCCTTGCTCTGAAGACTCGCTGCCAAGCGAAGCATCTTCGTCCTGTCGTCTCTATCTTGGGCTTCCGACAACCGCAGAATCATCCACATCCCACCTCTCCCCTTTTGCGGGAAGGATGCTTATCACAAATGGGAATCCAAGCCATCCTGGCCACCCCTCCCCCGCTCCCAACAAGGCCCTGACGGTGTGCATCCGTACATGGGCTCATGGGAGAATCTGGAAAGTTGCAGCCTCTACTATCACTCGGTTCTGCTGGGGACACCATAAACAGGATCGAATTTTCAGGCACCGCACAGCGGCAGGAGCACAATGGCATGGCAGGTCATGCAGCACACTGGGGGGAGCGCGTGTCGCACCCAAACATATGCGCGGAGCTGTAGCGGGAACAGGCTGCTTCACTGTGGCGGGAAGAGGAGTTGCACCCCAAAATATGCAAGACCCCGTGGCGAGGGTGCGATTTCGAGTCAGTTCTGGAACAACATGGAGCCTCGGGGAGTCACATGGTGTGGCCCGAGACTGTCCGAGACTATGGCGAGAGCACGACTTCCACCCAAGAACACTCACAAAGGCAGGATATGGGGCGAGAGTGCGATTCGAAACAAGACCCGCCCAACTGAACGCAAATCAGCAGCCGGAAGAAAGGGACACGAGTTGAAAAAGCAATTGTCATCGCCGCCATTGTGGAATGATCCTGCAAACCGTGAATCCTTTCACATAAACAAGTTCCGTTCTTGTACTGCTTCTAGCCGAGGTGCACTTCAGAAAGGCTGCACAGGCTCAACATGAAATGCCTATAGAACCTTCCGACAGAAAGCGAGCCCCAAAGTACAATAGAAGGATGGCTTATTACAAGGACCCCTCAATGCAGCAAGGGATCATCAACTCTAAGAAAGCCCCAAGTCTCATGACTCTCATACACTCTTGTTGTTTCTTATTCTTAGGGTTTAGGGTTTAGGTTTAGGGGCTTAGGGTTTAGGGTTTAGGTTCTTCTAGTCCTCTTCTTCCTCATCGTCGGTTTCCACCGGGCCTCAGGCCGTTTACGGTCTCAGGGCGATCAGACTACCCTGTGCTGCCGGGCGCGCTTCATCGTCGGGATCACCGAATTATGAAATTCTCTGAGGTCCAAGGCGAAGGTTTAGGCTGCCAATAAAGCTGGTATCGACTGTGATGGGTGCGCCGTGGCTGTGCGATCTGTGATCTTTCACGCGGCTCTATGAAGTCTATGCGTTCGCCAACTTGACTTGTGAAGCGTGAGTGCGCATACTGTCCGTCTCTGTTTCCATGCTCTTGCATCGCTGCCCATGACGCCCACCTTCAGCCACCGCAGGAACCGAAGTGCCAGTTTGCCTGCGGGATCGATGCCGGGTTTAGAAGCTTTGAGATTTTAGGGCTCAGAGCTTCTTGGGGACTTGCTGGTGGGGACAAAGGGCTTTTGGGGTTTAGGACTTTTTCCGAGCCCGACCATTTCGGTCCGGACCTCCGTGCGATGTCTGCCAAGTTGATGCCACGAAGTCCTGCCATGCTGCCACTCCCGCCTCACAAGTCGATGCACAAGCCTGCAATAGCACGAATCAATAAGGGCTAATCGCGATGATACTGTAATAGGTGCGTACGAATAAGTATAAGTACGAACAGGAATAAACATGCACATAATAGTACTAAGAGGAGCAACAACAATGATGATAGTAATAATAAGCCTACTGCTACTACTACAAATAATTGTAGTAAAAATTCATATCTTTAAAAAATAGCTTTCCTCAGAACATCTGAGAGCAGCAAGACTTCGAATCATAGTGTTAATTCAATGAATAAGAGTAGGACTAGATTCAGCAGCCATCATCGCCACCAATCTGTGGCAAGCATGGCAAGGGTCTCGCAGTACAATGCTCAGGAATGCTCCAAACCCTAAACCCTAAACCCTAAACCGCTCCAAGTGCCAGACTGCTGTCGAGCTCACTGCTGCTCGATCGACTCGGACGTCTGGGCTTTTTCCCGGAGGCGGCATCTTCTTCGCGGGCCTTCCTTGACACAGCAAGGGTTTTTTTTGCCTAGGGTTTAGGGTTTAGGGTTTGCTGCTTACCGTGCTCGAGCGCAGAGAAACCAGGACAAGAGGAGAGCCTACTGAACACCTGCTTTTCCTCGCTCCCGAAAGCTCAGTGGTCAGGATTCAATATCTGCAAGTGACAGGAGCCGCTTTTTGGCCACTGCCGGATGAATTACTGGAACAGAACGTGCATGCTATGCAGAAGCTGCTGCCCCATGTCCATGTATCCTCGTGGAGGATGAGGCCGTGGGTCTCCTCTCTGCTATTGGCCCTCCCAAAACCCTAAACCCAACTCAAAACGCTAAACCGAAAACCCTAGTTGTCTTCTCAACACAGCTTCACATAGCTTCACGTTGCCTCCAGCTCGGGTTCTCGTCTCCAGTAATCCGAGAGCCGAAGGCGATTCTCATAATGTAGGGGCCTTAATAATTAGAACAGGGTTTTGGGGTTCCTTTAAGAGTTTCGGGGCCTTCATGGCTACTATAAGCGCTTAGGGTTTTTTCCGGCCTTTTTAATTAGAATTGGGCTTTGGAGTCCGTTATACTATAAGAATAATAAGAGACCACAAAGGGTATTGGTAATTATATAGGCCCCTAATGCATAAAAAAGCCGTCGCTGAACTGAAACTCAATCCAGATGACGGACCACGGCTATGCGGACACAACGGCCTTTACAAGTCGAGTCTGAGCTGGTGGTGAGGATCCACTCCACCACCCACCACAGGGTCGCTCAGGCTCGCGCCGCGTGGTGAGATATGATATGGGCATCTTTGCCCATTGCCGTAGGGATGTCTAGGCTTCGCAGCTTCCATCGTCAACCGGTGTCAACCAGGTGACAGGTGCTTGTCAGGTTCAAGATCATTTGCTGGGAAGGCCGCCGCACTCTCTTCCAATCGCTCACTACACACCTACCCGGACCTGCCCCACAGAATCCGAACGTTCCCCTGGCGATATCCGCAGAGGTTTTGTAGGGAGTTTTCCTTGGGCAACGAGACTCCGAAGACAATTCTCAAAGAGTCAGCAGCCTCCACCGGAGGATAGCAGCTCTGGGGGAAGGTGCGCTTCAAAGCAGGCATGCACCTCCCACGCGACAAGCTGCACTTCAACATTTGTGTAATGCGGCTGGATGGCTAGGCATGTGGGGGTAAACCTTAAGCTTCAGGCTCTGGGCCCTAAAACATATTTTGTAAGATATATGATACATATCAGATAATACATAATCTAGAACCCTAAACCCTAAGCCCCTGTGAGCATACTAGCCACCAGCCACCGCCTGGACTGTGCAGGCAGCCTCGCCGCTGCTGTGTGCTTTCAGCTCTGACCTTCTTTTAATTTGTCAAAACTGCGAATGCGTCTACAGCTCCACATACATACATCTAGGTGCGTGTGTGCGTGCGTAAAAACACACTCAGAGAGATGGAGACATATACAGACAAACAGGGTTTCAGACAGATACAAATACAGATAGATAGACAGACAGATCTAAAATAGTTCGATAGTTCGATAGAAAGATAGATTCTTAGATGGATGGATAGATGGATAGATGGATAGATAGGCCGGAAGGCAGGAATGCTGGTCTCGGACTGAATGGGCGTGGTTTCGAGGAATCCCCCGCGCCCTAAACATCTCTACGTGTCGGTAGACCCTTGTCCCTACTGCTACTGCTACTATTACTGATACTACTGCTACACTACTACTGCTACTACTACTACTACTACTACTACTACTACTTCTACTACTGTTACTACTACTACTATTACTACTACTACTACTACTACTACTACTACTACTACTACTACTTTTACTACTGCCGCTATTGCTACTACTACTACTACTACCACCACTACTACTACTACTACTACTACTAC